ACAAATATGGCTGCTGTGGTAAAAAAAAAAAAAAAAAAGGCTTAGCCGCACTTAAATAACTTTTATATTTTTGATAATTTTACAACTATAACATGCAGTTAACTAAAGGCATAAAAACCTTAACAACATAACGTAATACTTTTTATGGCAGAAAACACACAATTTACGAACATATAAGAATAAAGAAACTGAGCTCATTGAGCCAAGTAACAGAATGGATATATATGTGTGTGTGTGTGATATTTTGGCAGTCGAGCATATGAGTGACAAAGCTTGCCATCAGAGTGCGGGCATTGTGTGGCTGAGTGGAATACAGCAGAAATGATGACACAGAAGGATTTCACTTTTTACTATTCCATATCTTTATTTCAATTTTCACAGCAGATCATTTTTACTTTAGATGAAATTCTCCAAATTACATATTCAATAGTGATTTAAACTAAATACGATTAAATTTAGACTTTGTGCGTCATAACTATTCTAACAAAGGAAAGATGGGTTAAGCAACAGCGAAGTGTTGTAGTGCAGGAGGAGAGAAGCAATCAGCAAAATGGCGCGACTTCGTTATTTATAGAAGCAGTTAAATAATAGACTCGAATGTTCTCGAAAATACCGGTCTAGGGGGAAGATCCTGAAATTGCGGAAAGTTAATTGGAGGTTCCTTGTTCGCGTAGAGCAAAGCCATCGTATTTTTTATATTTTACATATATATATATATATATATATATATATAGATATACACTTTTGGTGCGGCCGATTGCAACCAAAAAGGATAGTGCACATCTACATGTTATAGCAGTCCCACATACAGAATTTCAACGTTCTGATGCTATTCATTTTTGAGTTATGCTCATACATACGTACGTACAGATGCCACAAATCTCTTCTGAGTCCATTTTAAATCAGTTTTATAATTCGTTTGGGGAAAAAGAGTCCTTTATTCTGTCCTTACGTACAGATTTCACGCAAAAACATTGTTAAATTGCATTCGATAGCGGTCAAAATGGATATTTTTGTTGAAATATGGTACCCAGAAATTTTCGTGATCACACACCAGAGCAAATATATTAAATATACTAAATTATCCTATATTTCTAATTGTTATAATTTTGCATGTAGTTTCCTTAAATTCCCTGAATTTAAAGTTTAGTTGATAATCGTTGTAGATTTCTGTGTGCAAGAATCAGCTTTAGAAAAAATATTCTGAGTTAGCTTGCCCTTGCTTACAAGCGCTCCGATGCGATTGCCTGCATTTTTTGGCTCTAAATATTATAAGCTAATAACCGATATAGGGTAATTTTTAAAGTTTTATGTCAAATGTAAATTATGTAAAAGTTTTATTACTTTCATATATACAGATCAGTGGTTCTCAGGGACTTGGAAAATACATATATACATTTATTTAGATTTAGACTGTTTTCTAACCTGCTTTATAAATTAATCAATAAAATGTATAGAAAATTTTGGTGAATACCAAACCCCCTCTGGGTTGAAAACTCTTGATATAGATATTATACTAACATGCGTAAGATATAAAATATGAAAAAAATTACTAACTTTAATTTAACAATAGTCCTTTTTAATTTCTCATTTTAATTTGGCTGCATCTCATTCCTGGGAACCTGAACTGCATCACTTGAAAACCAATCCGCATTATGTCATCTTTAATCCTACAATGCAGTTAGCTCTTGTCCAGTCACCGTCCGAAATTTAAACAAAGGATTCAATTCTGTAAATACGCTTTGTTGAAATGCGCAGTCACTTTTTCTTTTCCTCTAGTAAATTAGCTCAAGTTACAGTAATCGACTTCACATCCTAATCGACTCTGCTAACTGTGATAATTTTATAGATGACTTGAGGATATGAAGCTGGCGTAAATACATCTGATGACACAACGGTGAAGGAAAATCTTGCAAACATAGGGCGTAGATAACAAGACACAATTTTATTTCTTGATGATTAATGCTAAGCACATATACTCTATGTAAACACATATCTATGTAAACACATATACTCTGTTTTACACATCACTATGGGCGCGATAAGCACTTCACAGTTTTTCAAAATATATCACATTTGTATCAGACAATGGACGACATAGAGAACAGAGCGATGCAACAGCAAATTTTAGCAAGAAGTAGCCAAGCAAATAATTAGATAAATAAATAAAATAAGTGCGCATTTTAGCAAATTGTATTTATAAAGATGAATTTTCTTTTAAATTTTGAACGATTATTGAACAAGAGCTAACCCTATTGTAGGATTAAAGCTGGCATAATGCGGAATAGTTTTCAAGGGACGCACTTAAATTCTAGGAAAGGGATGTAGCCGAATTAAAATGAGAAATTAAAAGGACTATTGCTAAATTAAAGTGAGTAATTTTTTTCATATTTTATATCTTACATATTTCTTCTCGCTAAGATTTGTTGTTGCATCTCTCTGTTCTCTGCGTCGTTCATTTTCTAAAAAACTGTGATATGCACGAAAAATTTTGGTGTGTTGTAATGGCGACATATGAAATTATTCTGAAACAAGAGCAATCTTTAAATAAAGAAAAGCCCATTATTTTCAATATGTACATTTTTAATATCGAAATCTTAATCATGATCTAAATTAGATACCTAAATCTTCGATTCGTACGAAAGTTTAAAAAGGTTTGATATTTGTAAACATGAATTTCATCTTTTTTTTTCCCGTACTCCTTCGAATTCTAACCTAAAGAACCATTAAATGTTTTAACTCAAAAGTTGAGAAGCTTAGTTTTTTCCCCTCCTATTAGGACTAATTCATTGAGGAAGTACTGCAATTTCGGCGGACCTGATTTGCCAGTATTACAAATGTAGCGGGGCTACATTCCACACTCTTCATTTTCTGGAATGATTTAAGCGTTCCATTATTAGTGTTTATCGGTGTAAACTTTTGAAATAATCTTCTTCCATTTGTACTGACTTTAGAAAGTTTCTGGGAATATAACCAAAATCTAAAGTGTTACCCAAATATATTATTGCTAAATTATATTGAGAAAATGAACCTCAGAATTCAGGTATTTTGATTACGTACTTCACAAGCTAAATTTCGCTTGTATCCTTTTCATAAAAACAGATGTACACCTAATTCTGATTTTACATTAATTCATTTACACGAATTTGTTTTAATCGGGATCCGTATTAAATATTTTATTTGCACGTACCATTTTGATTCAACACGAACAGATGAAGCCAAATCTAAAATTTGTTTTCCGAAATTCTTGAAATTCTAAGAAATTTTTTATTTTTGATGTAGTAATACATTCACATACGAGAGGATCGCATAACAGCTAATGGAAGAGAATGAGACAAAGATCCCGTTATATATAATGTGCTTGAATTTCTCCGTATCATTACAATGGCACAGATAACTCATGGAGAAGAATTCTGTGATCTGTTTTGAAGTTATTGATGTTGTTAGTGGACATGATCATAAGCAAAAATGAAATATTACAGTTTGTCCTTGAAACTCTTAATCCCACAGAACCTAGTGAGAATAAAAAAGAAAATGATCTAGTTCTATATACGAATTTAATAAAATAAGGTCTAGAATTGGCCATAAAATTGAGAAGTAATTTTGCCAAGAATGATCCTACTGAGGAACGCACTGGGAACTTTCAACGTGGTCTGAAGCTGCTGACAACCTCTTACAGAGAATTATATATTTGGCCAATTTAAGACACGAACACAACGATTAATAATTGAGTTCGTTCCTGAAACTGATAAAACATCAGGAAACAGAGGAGACGCTTGTTGATTTTGCTCAAGGTATCACAGAAATAATTTCATTAACAGAGGAAAGAAACGATAGCTGTAACGTTTCTAGTGACAGCAGTAATATTCCAATCCTAAGAAAACATAAATAGATTTTGCTTTGTTCATGAAGAATTTTTTTTTCGTTTCAAATGCAGATTTACTATAATACATTTACATTACATAGTATTACGTATGAATTTTGTAGAAATAAAATAATAACCTCAAGACGAATGCTTTCAGACGTTTTTGTAATCTATTATTTTTGCTAAAGTTCTGGAATCAGTTTCCCTATCTTCCATAAGTACAATGTCTTTCTGCACAAGTTTTCTCAACACGTATTTTTCAGGAACGTATCTATCATGTAAAAACAAAATTAAATGTGTTTCTAAAAATAGTGAACTTAAATTAGTTTCTCCTTACCTGTAGATTTTAATTTTTGCTTAACGTAAAAGCTTTTAAATAACAAGTTTTCATCCGCTATTTATCACTGCATAAAGAATTCGAGAACCTTTTAGGGTTAGAATTTCTGATTGGTGTGTAGGGTTCTTAAATCCTCGTCTAAGATGAAACGTCGAGGAATCTAATGAACTATGAAGCAACTTATCGCTGAGTTCAAACAACTAAGACTTAAACTCGAGGAGGGTCAAAATACTCTTTTATTCACTCAAGTAAGAGTAACAGTTGGCCCCTTCTAGGGCTTACATTAAAGCTTTTACTCGGGCACTAGCTCAGAATAAAAAAATAAGAAACTAAACTATAATTAACTAAACGAGGCTTAGTCGAAGCTAGACACAATTATCTAACATAATGGGCTCTTAAATTAAACTAGCCAGCGAATATCAGTACGCCCGTATAAGACGGCTGAGTGTAACAGCTTCGAGAGTGACTTAGCCAGAAGGCTAAGACGCTTCACTAACGACTCTTAGCATTCTCTATCGAAATTAGTTGAACCTTTCTTAAATACTCATTTGCATTCAACGCGGTTCTAAAATCTCATTCTGGGAGGGAGTAGTAAGTGGAAACAAGAATTGAAAGGAAAGAGTTTCAAAATTAAAATAGCTGTTATGAAATTAAAATGCACCTCACAGGCGAAAATTTTGGATCCATCCAACTCTACTCTAATGTCAAAACTATGTGATGTTGATTGCTAATGAATATTACTAAATACATTTGTGTTAAAATTATAATAGTTAATTTTTTTTTTCGGTTTCGTTACAGTTTTAGGAGTAAGCGGAAGCGGTTACTTAGAAGGCAGGCGTCGTGACGGCGAAGAAGGCCTGTTTCCTGCTGCCTGCATTCAGGAAATGACCATTCGCTGTGCAGATACTTTACCAGCAGCGGGTCGCCTGAAGGCTGAATACAGGCGAAACCTGAACGTTAAAGGTGGAGATGTCACCAGGAAATGGAAGACGTATGATTTACTTTTTTCTGTTATTCGTTCAATTACAATCAATATGCAATTACACTAATATGAAATTAAATTTGAAATCAGAGTTATTTTTAATCCAGTCTTTTTTCCTAATAAGGGAGATACTTTTCCTACCATCAGCTACTGAATATAAATATTAATATCCGATGAGAAAGGCTTTTTGAATGAAGCTAAAAATTGAGCATCCCATAACTCCTATATATTACTCTGCTGCCATAGAATTAGACTCCTCTATTGAATTCTTTTCAATTTCTTTGAAATCGTTAACCTGTGATAAGATCCGAATAATAAATTTAAAACTATAAGAAATAAAAAAAAAGAGTTACTTAAGAATTTTCTTTATTGTAATAATTTTGGATGAATATCACCTACAGTTTTAGACTGGCATAGAATTTGTGTAATAATATTCTGCTGGGTTGGAAGGCGACCTATCATAGGTCCCTCTTCATCTGGGATGGGGCGACAATCAAATTTATAGACTGTGCGAAGCAAAGAGAAAATGAACGTAGCATCATCTGTCGAGAAAAACAATAGTGTAACATGAAAAAGTTGATATATAAAATTTTGAAAGCATTATAATGAATTTGATGGCAATAATCCCGATTCAATTCTTCGCAACGTTTTCAAAATTTTGTTACTGTAGTTTTTTCATGTTATATTCCATTTTTCATCAACAGATGTCGTCACGTTAGTTTTTTATTCTTTCTGCTAATTATTCAGTAAATTTGTTACTGCTTCTTCCAACTTTGCAAAATTTTTTCTCCTGAAGAATTCCCTATGTTCTATAAAATCAATAGAATCTCTTGATCCAATAGTATTATAATTAGTAAAGCAATGGAATTTATTCAAAATCTACACCAATACAAATATTTTCTGGCCTAATATTAAATACCAGGATTTAAGTCATAGAAGGATTTTCATGAATCTATTATAAAATTCATGTATTTTTATTTATGTTGCTTCACTAAGCTTTCTGTTTTAGGTTCGGTGAGCCAAGGACGGTTATTCTTCATAAAGGCAAAAAAGGTTTTGGTTTCATCCTCAGGGGAGCTAAAGGTGATAATACTATATGTTTTTCCATGTAATTCTACTTATAATGAATTTACCTAATTCAATTGTTTAAAAAACGCTGAGATCTTGTTGCATGGGTTTACGATATGCTGCCGAAGACTGCGAGACTGGTTGCCCGCCGTGGAACAAATATGGGTTTTAAATCGGAAGAGTTCTGGTACAGTCATTGTTTGTTACTTCCTTATACGAAGTAAAGGAAGTACTGTAATCGCGAAAATTTTCGGGTTTCACATTTCAACCGCTTTCGAAACCGTTTGAACGATTTCACTTGACATCTGTACGTACGGACAGGATAAAGGACTGTTTTTACAAAAAGGATTGTAAAATGGATTTAAAATGAATTCAGAAAAGAATTTTTCATGACGTCTGTACGTACATATATATGTATGTATCTCGCATAACTCAAAATTTGTTTCATTCAAAACTAATTTTAATTGTAAAAATTGTTTTTTTTAACTCTTTTAGCTGTATTTGCTGGTTTATGTTTTTCTGTATTTTACAATTTCTAATAAAGAGATTTTGAGTTTTTATATATTTTTACTTTGCCGCGATGTAAGAAATTGAATTTTGAATTAATTGAATGAGAAATATATCTCTACTGAAATTCGAAAAAATAAGTTTAAATAGAATGTAGCGAAAAATGCGTATAACTTAATAGGCCATACAAGGAAGTCACGTGGTGTCCACATCACATTATTGGGAACGCTTTATAGAAGATTAGGGAATGGGAATAATATCTGGTGATTAATATTGACAGTCTAGTTTTCCTCTTCTTTTATCTGTATTTGTACCTGCATGTATCATATAACTTACCGTATGAAAATTTTCTTGTAATGAAACATTCCCTAATATACATATAATTTTAATATATTTTTAAAGGTAATAAATATAAAACTTAAATTTCGTAATTTTCACTATTTTTTATTCATAATCCTTTCTAATTTTTGTAATGGATAGGATTTTCTATAAATACAAAAAATACCATAATTATGGTACATTTTTGTTGAAAGCAGAGATATTTTTCATAATAAGCCTCTAGAGCCATTAGGTTATTTTGAAGCATGAGACGTGAAAAAGGTGCAGTGCCTTCTCCCGGACTCGAACCCTGAAACTCTCGAATACCCCCTGAGTATGCTTCCAACTACACCACGAACGCACGCCGAAAGAAGAAAAAAAAATACCCCATAAGCTTATTAATTTAACAAAACGTAAACTATGATACAATGTGCTCAAATATTTTTTTTGCACCGCAAGTCTAGTTTAATTTGCAAATCTAACAAGATTTCAAATGCATTTTTTAGATTTCTTTAGATAATCAGATATATATGATAAAAATCTTCAGATATAAATTCAAGTGCCTATTAAAGTTTTATCAATCTTACTTTATAATAAGTAGCTATTTTAATTCTGAGACGGTTTAACGACCACTTTTATTACTACGATATTATTTTATGCTCTGAAAAGAAATGTTTTAATGGAAACAATGTTTTTCCTTATATTAATCTGATTCTTTATTCCATTCTTTAGCTACTAGTCCACTGATGGAAAGGCAACCAACTGAATTTTGGCCTAGTTTACAGTACCTTGATGACGTAGACAAAGGAGGCGTGGCAGAAATGGCTGGTTTGAAGAAAGGCGATTTTTTATTGGAAGTAAGAAAGAATTTAACATTCACCACTATTCGTTACGTATGCGAATAAATAAAAACAGAAACTCAAAGCTTACTCTCAAAGTAAACGAACTTAATGCTTTACTTTCAGATTTAGTCAATTTTGGATACACCCTTTCATATTTATTGTACACATCTAGATATATTACATATTCGGTCAAACGTTTTGTTGAGTTTAACGTAGCGGTCGTCAACCCTTAGAACTTCACGGACCACTACATATATAATTTTATATTTGACGAACCACTAATATGAATTAAAAAAACCTTAAGTCAGACCTTAAAACAACATATTAATACGCGAGAACAATAGTCAACTTTCCAATACATGTAATTCTAATTTTCATTTGTTAATACAATTTTCGAAACACCAGTTCAGCAGCATGCCTTTATAGAAATTCAGGCTACGCCCCTGATCATGAGTAACAATTAAAACACTATTAATATATTACTGATACACGTATTTCGTTCACATTGAAAAATTATATGAAAAGTACAAAAATCTTACCTTCTTGTACAGAAAGCTTCACATTTCCATATCACTGAAAAAGAACTTCACGAAAAGCAAGAACAAACCAGCAAACGCAAAGCAATATCAATATCAGCAAACAAGGTTCCTGCCTGGGAGATGAGTAAATTAAGTTATGTTAACTGAATACGGCGAAGCTCACGAAGGCTATTTTCCTAAGGGGACGGAAACTTTCACGGAGTGCTTTCTAAGCGAAACTAGCTCGTATTTACGTTCCACTTGGAGAAAACCACGGAAAAAAAAAAAAAAAAAAATCTGAAATGTGTTTCAGATTTTAAATTACGTCCAAAGGGGCGTTTTTTTAACGTTTTGAGTGTTACCTTTATTTATTAAATATCATGTTCTTTGCACTTAAACCATAAAATTCAGTTCAAGAGCAATATCGCAAAATAATGTTAAATTAAGCATATCTTTAGAATTTCCGATATACACAGTCTCGCGAGCTGGAGATAAAAGTATTTTTTTCCATATAACGTTGCCATTTCTCGCTTTTAAAGCCTTGAGTTTGTAAATCAAAAATTCTTTAAAGTTTTACAAAATATAAAATCTATAATAAAACAAATTCCAAATTTGGGATTTCAAATGCCCATATTCGCAGTAGGATTTCGTCATTCAAAATTTGATGGCTCTATGTACCATTGTTTTATCACAATGCGAGAAATAGACAATCATTTATGCAGATTTTTCATTATTTAATTTCTTCAAATATAATGCAGGACTCTAACATTTTGTGGCAACAGTTTGAAAAGTGAACCGACGTTTATGAGTCCGACGCAAAATCGCAAAACGAAAACAATAGTCCTTCAGGGACAAAGCCCCTTTGGACTAATAATAATGCAGACAGCCCGTTTGCTTGGAATCGAATCCGTGCCTAACTCTCTGCAGTCTTAAACATTCGGCCACTTCCGCTGGGGCTATTTACGTTACGAGGTTGCTATAAGAGCAGAATTTCGAAAATTCCCTATTTAAGAAATTCAAATGGAGAAGCGAATAATTATAAGCAATAGTTCCTGTTTCTAAAACTTGAAAATAATTATTCTTATCGGAATTCTTAATAAATGTTTTTATTTTCTTCTATTTAACATGTCGGATATGTTTATTTATTTTGAAACTGAAAGACTTGCATTCACAGTAAATTTGAAAAATGACCCATTAATGAAAGTCAGTCATTTCGTTTTTCATAGGATGTAACTATTATTGGCAGGTTCAAAAAATATGGAAGAATTTCTTCAAATATATATGAAAAAAATAAGATTATTTTAAGTCTCTTCTTTTCAGAGAAGGGTTTTGTTACAAAGTCTTCTTTCTTCCTATCATTTTCTCTTTATCCATAAGTTAAGCCTTCTCATTTCTTAATACTTCAAGAAGTTTGTTTCTGTGGAGTCCTTTATACCTATCAATAAAGTGGAAATGTCGGCCGAAAAGATAGAAAAATGTGCGATTTCTTCATGGGTGATTTATCAAATTCCTTATGAATGTTGTTTTGCATTTATTGTACAAATCCGCAGATCTTTAAACATTCAGGAAAAATGAACATCTTCTATATGTTAAGTACTATGGGGAAATAAAGATGTTCCCCACAATATTCCATTGTTATGGATAAAAATCGTAAACAAAATTTTCGAAACTGAAAATGATTACGCATACTTATTTAACCATCAGTTTAAGTTCCTTAAAAGCTTCAGAAATTTTCTTCTGTAGTAAACAGAAAATTCTTTTTAAAGGAAAAACTAATTCAAATCCTGTTCTTTTGATCAAATATTTCATCTTCTTTGGGGAGCACTGGAATATCTACAACTACGTATGTTAGCAATAATGTAAGGTTTATCCTAAGTTTTTAACAGTCATCTTTAGTTAAAGCTGCTTTCCTGTCCTTCCTAATTTCAGCTTACAATTTCCTACCAGAATGTGTTTTTAGAATCGCGTTTAATGCAAATGAGTAAGAGTAGTATTTAAGTCGATGTTCCACTGACTTCGAGAGAGAGTCTCAGAGTTTCTGACTAGCGTGCGTTGACCTTTTGGCTAAGTCTCTCTAGACTGTTTCTACACTCGGCAGTATTTTAGGCCCTTAATACTTTTGCTAGCTTATTCCATATTTAGGGGTCAACTACTTAGAATTTTGATAGCTTCGGCTATATCTTTCTAGCTAAGCATTAGTTAATTTTTATTTCTTATTACTTTGAGTTCAAGCCCAAGTGGAAGCTTTGCTGCAAGCTCTGAGAATGGAGCCAACTATAAAGTTCCTAATTTGAGAAATAAAGGGTAATTAACACTTCTTGAGTTTTCTTCTCTGTTCATAAACTAAAGTGATTATTCGCTTAAGTGTTCACGAGGTACCTACACAGTTATTAGATAAAAAGGCTAGATAAACTCCACAATAATAACAACGCTCTGAGAAAGGTAGAAGTTATTTAACGAAATTGCTGCCTGCAGTTTTGTTTTGCTAATTTTCGTATTCAATCCTCTTTTATATATTATTATTAGATTATATAGAAAATATACACAAATCATTGAGACTAAACATTAATAATCATAGTGAAAGAAGTTTAAGGTGAGAAACAAGTTTAATGCATAGAATGCTTAAAAATATATTTATTAAGAAGGTACAATGAGATTAAGTAAATGAAATACGTAATTAAAACTCTTTAAGGTCATTTCAATATTGTTTGAGAGAAAATATGAGTAACAATTCGGATTTTTTTTTTTTTCATTTTCTGTAATTTTTTGAAGCAAACGTAAGTATAGAGCAAATATTATTTCAAGAATTAATGTTCATTAATCAATAGTGTGGCGCTCAAGTTAGCCACGACGTGATGTAAGTGAATCAAGTCCTGTCACTGGCGGATTAAGCTTCTATCGCGTTCTATGCAATATTTAAATTTCGATCTCATTTATATAAGTTTCATCTAAAATAAATGACAGAATAAATGAAAAAATTACATTACTAGTTACGATAGCAGTTGTAGTTGCAAAGCAGATGAACACTTAACAATGAACCTATTTGTAAAGTACATATGTTTGGCCTTTGAAAAAATCATGTATAGATAAATCATACACAATGTATATCCGCACGATACGTAGGACGGATTGCGATTATATTAATTTAACAATTTTTATGATTCCATTTGTATTAATTAAAAAATAACAAATATTCTATGTCATTAAAGATTCGTTAACTTTTTTATTTTTAGTTTTTTCCGTACTGAAAGCGGGCTCTTCAGAATTACGAGCCTTAGACATTTGCCCTAGTAAAGCTCTACAAATTGTGCCTTTTTTAAGGATGCTTTCTTTAACATCAATTCACTCTAACATATCTTATTTGCTATATTATTGTTATACTTTCTTAATATTAAATGTTGGCAGAAAATTTAATGAAAGTATCTTCTAGATTAACGGTCAGGACGTGTCTCAGGCTTCTCACGAAAGGGTGGTGGCCATCATACGACAGTCTGGGGACCTTGTTTCCATGACAGTTGTTACAGTCATCCAACAAGCTGCCGCCACGCTACCTCAGACGGAAAAACCACAACTCATCAATAGGCAGTGTGCCACTTTGCCTCGCAAGCTATCCACCAAAAAAGGTACAATGTATAGTCATGAAATAATATCTAGGAAAAATATTAATGACGGAAATAGATTAGCCGTTACGTGCAAAGCAGCAACGTGTGAATCAATAATATTTTAGCTCTTCTAGCTGAATGCTTCTCTATTTCTGATTGCTTTTCCCATTATATATATATAGAGAGAGAGAGATAGCTAGATAGGTATATAGATAGACAGACAGATAGATATAGATAAAAATGCGTTATTAAAAAGCTGTTAATGTCCCTCATAACATTGCCAAATTTTACTTTAGTTTCTACTTTTGCATTTTCATTTGGCTTTTACGACTGTTGGCCCTTCCAAATTTGCATATATTTAAATTAGATTTTGCCACACAAAATTTGACTTTAAGAATTCATTATTGTGACACTCCCCCACACCCCTTAAAAAAGCACTGTTTTGGTATTTTTTGAAATTTTGGTCACTCCCCCAACCCCTTTTCTTTGAAAAAAAAAAAAAAGCTAAAAGCTGTTGTTTGGCATTTTTACATATTTTTGAAGTTTTGGTTTTTACAACTAACTGTCTTCTAAAAAGCATGCGCCATTTTATAAAACATTTACCTCTTTGGTATTCTATGGTAGTACTGTGACACATATTCTTCTGATTAAAATGTATATATAATTTTTTTCCATAAAAAATACTGAAAAAGGATCTTTACTTTGATTTGAAATAGAGACAAATTGTCTTTCTTTTTACTTATTTACTTATCTTTTCAATGTATTTATAAACTGTAATTAACTGCAAAATTTGAAAGACATTATTTCTTTCGAGGAGCCTCATAACAGGTTAAATTTTGATAAATAATCTTAAAAAATTCTTTAATTTTTACTTTTGTGCTAATTGTATTTTAATTGTTTGATTAAAACTTCTAAAAAGTTAAAACTGAATTTCAGTTTGATCAATTACTTGCTATTAAGCTTTTCTCCAGTAAATAACTGTAACACAGAACCATGACTGCTGATAGCTGTATTGGCTGCTCCTCATTAAGACCAAAAAATTATCAATTATATTTAATTATTTACTTGCTTTCTTTGTTTATGTTTCAGTTTTATTTTGCTCTAGGATTAGTGTCAGGGTCTATGTTTCATACTGTGTAACATTTTGCTTTCTTCATGTTGGGTAGTTGGCCACCTTAGAATAGATTAGCGTTTTATATACCGTATTTGCCGGCGTATAAGACGCACCGGCCAAGTCGCAATCCTTTTTTATACATATTTTTGAAGGATAAAACCTTATTACTCATCATTATAATTAATTTACAGTATTTTAAATAAAATGTAATACAAATACGAAGTAATACTTCCTGCAAATACTAAATCTATCTGGGAAAGAACACCTTTTGATCTTCTTTGTCAAAACCCAGACCTTCATCTCCAGAGTTAAGTGAAGAGTCACTTGAAACCTCTTCTAAATCAGCCTCCGAGTCCTTATACAACAAATTTTCCTCTGTGCCATCCAGTGTATTACTAATGCCGCACTTCTTAAATGATTTAACTACTATCTCTGTTTTCGCAGCATCCCATGAAACTTTGACCCATTCACAAACTTGCGAAATTCTAACTCCGAATAAACTGAGTATCGACCTATAAGACGCATCCCGTTTTGCAGACTAATTTTCAAAGAAAGAAGTGCGTCTTATACGCCAGCAAGTGCGTATATGTATATATATGTATGAATGTGGGAAATATAAAATCTAGCTTTCAAATAATAAATTACTTCCGTTTCATTCTAAAAATAACAGCAATAAATGTTTCTCCCTTCAGTTCTGATGCGCACTTACCGATAAAATCTGAACCCAAAATCCTGTACGTTAAACTGTCATGAGATTTGAAATGGATTTTGGTATAAAAAGGGTAATTGCGTCGCAACTCTCTCTTCTTCCCTTTGTTCGTCTCTTCTGCTGCTTTCGGCTATGCCGCTAGCCACGTAAGGTTTACTTTTCTAAATTCGTCAAATGTGAGCTGTAGAAAACTGGCAGTTGCATAGCGCACCCACAATTATAATGTGCATTATCGAAAAATAAAATTATGTGTGGAATTTACCGTTATGTGTGTTCTTCGAGTGTCATCTTGCTAACTACGGAGCAAAGTCTTCAAACTATGATGCAGTCCTCTCTAACACTAGTCCACTGCAACTCTCACTAAGTCGTTTTATTTCAATAATAATAACACAGTTTTATTACATCTAATAGAACAGTTTTATTATATATATATATATGTGTGTGTGTGTGTGTGTGTGTGCGTAGGAAAACCCCCATCCCTCTAGAAAAAGTGATATTATCATCACACAAGAGACGTTAAAATATTTAAACTAAATCTATTTACATGCATTGAAAAAAATCAAGTCTTTTCATTCAGCGATCCAACATCGTCCGTGTCTTTTGCTAAATCTAGGTAATTTTTAAGATAATAGATTTTAAAAATAATCTAAGATAATTTTTAAATTTTTAACTTTGCCGGATCAGAAATAAGCTGTTTTATTTATTAACTTCTTTCGTTGCGCCCCCCCCCCGATGATGATACAGCGAAAGATGTAAATTTCATATTTCATTTTTGGTTTTGGCATAGTTTGACCCTATTTCTTGCAGTTTGCCATTGTGCTTCTGCGTTTTGGTTTTTGCATGTGGTTTATTCGGAATTGAATACTGGTGAATTTTATGCTATTTTTTATTTTATTTTGTGCTACATACTATATTAACTGAGGGAAGATGCTTATTTAATAAAACTTCAATCTTTTATTTTTTGATTATGTCTTTAATGCTTTATTTTTGACAAAATCAGTTATGTCCTTCGTAAGAGTGTTACACTGTGTATCTCGATCTTCACCTTAGCTTATGTATTCTTGTAAGTTATCTCCTGCTCTTTAAATGTGTAATAAAACTTCTTATTTCTTTCAGCTCCACTGCCTCCAAAGCGAGATCCTAAGACAACGTTATCCGTCGGTCGAGCCCGAGCTAGGTCCATGGTAGCAGGATTGGCAGAAATTGGTTAGTGTCGTTTCAGTCATACTTTATGATCATGAGTTTTGTAATATGAATTTACATATTATGCAGTAAAAATCTGCATACTGAATTTTTGATTTCATATGCACTAGCTTGTTTTCTAAACTGTATGAAAGAATTCTTTGGAGCTTTCATATATTATTCAACTCATTTATTGAGTGTTTGAAAAGTATACGCGAAACACACATGTGTAAGAACGATGTGCTAAAAATGAAAGATCAGCACAGTATTTTATTCAGAAACTTACTTGTACACCTTTCACAAAAAAGGGGAGGTTTTATATCTCTCGTTCTACTAGGCTGATTGATAAAATTTAATTTGCATTTTTCATGTCTTGGAATCGTGACTTAGGATATATATCAAGTAGCACTAATCTAACATAGGTTACAGGTTACTTATATATAGCGTTGTTCTAACATAGGTGTTCTGACAAAAAATCGGACTTTCTAGAATGACATACCAATTTTTTTCTATATTTCCTTTCTACGACTCAAATTATGCCAAACGTCAAATTTTGTAAAATTTGGACGAATAGTTTTTAAAAAATTAGCTCTCAACATTTTAGCTCCTGAATGTAATTGAATTTGGTGTATATTTAAACTTACCTTAATAATTTGGTGTATATTTATCTTTTTTATTAAACTTACCTGATTCGTTTTTTCTTAATTCGAAATTTAGGTTCAATCCAAATAACATCCCGTGATATTTCCTGCCTTACTTTTAAAATTTGCAATTTTTAATATTTTTTCCGACAAAAATTTTTGAATTGAAACCTGTAAGATGTATACCATCACCTTAAAGTAGATGTATTTCTAGGCAGACCTGCAAATAATTAACGTTTTTTACTCAAAAGTTCCCAAGACATACGTGAATTTATATGTACGCGCACTTTGAAATTTGGCGTATTTGTTATTAGCGATAATAACTCCAAATGTGATTTAAGAACTTTGTTAAGATTATTTGAAAGAATGAACGAGGTACCTTTTTTTCCGATCGTGTACAATGAAAGGGAAAGAAAAATAGATTACAAAACTTTAAGAATTTCGCCAAGTGAATTATTCTCGGAGCAAACTAAAAAAAAAGTGCGCCAATGTTAAGTTTTTGGATTTCTCCGTAAATTCTCACCAAATTTTACAACATTTAATATTTAGTCATAGAATGAGTCAAATCGTAGAATGAGTCATAGAATCAAAATGTGAAAAAAAAAATAGTTATGTCATTTTATGAAAAGTCCGAATTTGTGTCAAAATACCTATGTTAGGACAATGCTATAAATAAATATAAATATACATTCCAAGACAAAAAAATGCGCTTTCGAGACATGAAAAACGCAAGTTAAATTTCGTCAATCGGACTAGCAGAGCGGGAGACAATAGAACTGCCTTCTTCCTCCCGCCCCATCTTTTGTGCAGATGTGTCAAATATTTCGTAAAGGAGTAACCTATCTGCCCTATTAATAACTTGAAATAGTTCATTAATATTGTATGTGAAAAACTAATGCTTAGCGTAAAAATTGGGTAATTTGGCATAAAATATGTTCCTAATAGAATGTGAAAGTTGATCTTAACAGTTTTCTTCGAGTTCTTTATTTTTAATTTGCCGTTATATGAAAAACCAACAACAATTATAAATCCTTTGAAAATCTATAAATATTTAGATACTATAAACGCTGCTTTAAGAATTTTCTTCTCCTTTTTGATGATAATAAATGGATCTCTTTTTATTGCAATCATTCAAATACACCCAAGATTCATCTATCATGACAACATTTTTCCCTTTTTTGTCTGGATAAATGTTTCTCGCAAAGAATGCTGCAGCGCCTTCTGCATTCAGCAATATCTCGTGGAGAAAGTCGAAGCATATTATGGTTTTTCGCCTTTCTAATATTAAAATCAGCATTAATTATTGTTTACGGTTGACACTTGATTTTTATAGGGATTTTCTATAAAAATCCCTATAAAATAATTAATTATAAAAATCCCTAAAAATAAATTAATGGTTTTGGAGCTGACTTTTGAATTATTTTCATTTGATTTGAAACACATTTGCAACATTCGAGGCATCCCGTTTATATATTTGGAACAAGTTTTCCACCTTGAAGCCAAGTTTTGATGTTTTTTCCCTTTCGTTTTGACAATATTATCTATTGTAGTTGTAGATATCGAAAACTCTAGGCTTTCACGGAATACTTTAGTAGGAATAATTTTCTTCGGAAACAGTACAAACATAGTCTTCCGTTCACTGCTCCTTCAAAAGCGCCATTTTGCATGAAAATAAAACTGTCAAGTAGCAGACGATAATTTATTCTTTCAAAAATATATCATTGGAATTCAACTTTTCAAGTAAAAGTGTTTTTAAAAAAATCTTCTTGAAATTATTACTTATATTAATTGGTAATATTAATATAGTAATGGATACCGTCTTGAATTCATATGTTTTTTAAATCCTCCTGCAGACTTTTAAAACCATCTTCAGCTTTCATCGCTTACATATTCTCAACATTATCTGAAAATCTATTTTTAAATTTAACGAATAGTTTGTATATTTAACAAATAAAAACTTTACCTTAATTTAATTTCATAAAATCTACTTGTTATACCGTCAATATCGATGACTGTTGTCAACCTGCTTCAGCTTTTCGTTTCTTTGGTTTATAGTATAATCCAAAATTTATTAGATTTTCCTAGCAAACAAACAAACCTATTAAACAAAACCTATTATATTTTTGCTCTATTAAAGTCTTCAGATTTGTAAAATTATAGTTTTTTGTTATTCTTTTCGTGGCAATAAATTCAGTGTATACGTATAATTTTGACTGACAAAGTATTCTGTGAGCATTGCGAAAGAAATAGTAAGATTGTAAGGTAAAATATTCTTATAGAGAGTTATGTGTTAAAATATTCTCATTGCATTTACGGTATAATTCCGATTTTGATCAATGTCTCAGACTCATTTTACTATAAATAACAGTTATTGATATTAGAATGATTGCCCTATAAGTATTTCGATCTCTTTTGAAGCTTTGAAGAGAAATTTCCCTTAAAATTCTAAACCAACATTGCATAAAAAGACTGTTCTTGCAGTATGTACTGAAGTATTCGTTCTGTGAGGTTAAAGAGAGAGAGAGCCTATAAACTTTCTACCTGTTCAAACAAATCGAAATCTTTCTATCTCTGTCTTAACATATACTTATATACAAGTTTGTTTATAACTGAGTGAAATATTCCTTCTGCGCAACAGATACCAACTTTTACTATGCTTTTATAAAAGCAAACTCGCCAAGATTATTTCATGTATTTCACAAAAGATCAGAGGGTCCACGTTTGCTGATATGTCGAGCATTTATGTGATAATCGCATGCGGTGGTTCTGGTTGATGCCTGGAACAACCACAGGCATCAACCACAACCACGACATGCGAATGCGAAGATTATGGCATTAACCAGGGTTGGAGATAAAAAGACAGATTCCTTGACATATCTCCCCCCTAAAAAAAGGTCACATGGGATAAAATCCGCATGCAGGAGATTGCTACCGCATTAACTCGTTGTTTCCTTGTCCTGTGTATTCTATCCAAACTGATGATAAATTTTGAGTTCTCGCGAATGACGTTTGTGACAGTTCACAAACTAATTACTTTCACAACTGGACCCCATAATAGTGTATTTATGTTAATGAGCTATACAACTGTTTTCTTCGATGTTTTCATTTAATTCTGGAATATGCAATCTTTCTAACGTTTCCAAGTAAATATTTTCAGTGAGGCAAGACCATCTGCAAAGATGAATGCAAGTAGAGTTTATAAAATACGTGTAAAGAAAATAATGAGTTGTTTTTTATTTGTTTCTTAATTTCAATTTAGTAAAATTTGTTATCGGTTGCAGGATTTATTTTTTGTGTTTTTCTTAATGTTTAACGAAATTATGAGCAATTCTTATAAACAGGAGAATTGTGTTAGAGAATTCACAATAATAATATGTGTAATTTTTTAATATACTTTAATTTAATAAAAAGTTTTATCAGTTGTTATATTCCGATAAAATAAGCATAAAATGTAAACAAATGTTTTTTTTTTTTTTTTTTTTTTTTTTTAAACAGAAGTCTTGGATCATACTCTGAACGAATATGATTCGGAGGGCCGTTCCACAAAAAGTAGCTCCATTGAAAGTATTCCTAACAAGCCTAGTAATAGTGCAACACCGGAGAGTACCACTACGACGACACCCATAACGGCAACCACCACACCCACATCCACGAATCAGACAAATGCTGGTATCAGGACCCGGCAGACGTGCCACCACGTCAGTGCTACAGAACTGGAAGACTTCTTCGCCCGCCATTTGTCCGTCACGATGCATCATGGAACTATAAGACACAAATATGCGACTATCGCTCGCATTCATAAAATGAAGCATCAGAAACGCTCAAGGCAGTACAGAAGCAAAGAGGATACCGATTACAGGTACAGGTAGTTATGACAAATTATTCAGTGCCAGAGCTTTTCTTTTCCAACAACCCCCCTACAAAAAAAAAAAAAAAAAAAAAAGGAACTACTTTCACATTTGTCATAACTACGATAGAAGAAAAAAGAAACTGGCAGTGGGCAGCAAAAATACGAAAGTTTGTTACGTTAAAAGAATTATTACATTGAAATCTAAAGCTGTGTAAATGAGCATCTATCTGATTTAGTAGCAGGATCGACTACGCTTTAGCTAATGACTTGACATTTTACGGTTAGGCAAATTGCCCGATAATATTCAAGAATGCATTGTATGCCATCCTTGTAATATCTGCTAACTCAGCAACAATATATTCAGAAAACCATTGACATGGACTTATTCGTATAGCAAAAATTCCAATTATCGACTGAACATAACTCGAAAAAGATTTGTTTGCTGTATTTTTATTCTAAAATTTCATACGGTTTTTAAAATTCTGTATTTGATAAATGAAATTGCAGAATCAGAAGAATAATCACATTCTGCAGTCAAATTCACATGTCTATGTGATAATTTTCAGTTTGATAGAAACGTAAAGAAGAAACTTGCCCTCTCAGTGGTCGATTTAAATATATCTTTTTATTCCCGCTGATTGCAATTTTTATTAACCAACAAAAATTAAACTGCGCTTTAGGCGCCTGTTCTAGAACCTTTGCATTTTTTGCGTCATTTCGGTAAGCTCAGATAGGGTAGCACTACTAACTAGCACATAGAGCAGAAAGCTACTGCGGTGCATCCAAGATAAAATCCTGAACTTCAGAAGGATTTGATTTCAGTTTCGATTTAATTCTCTTGATAAATAATTATCTTCCAAAATTATTATTAGTTGAAACATTTGTATAATTTTAATTATAAGCATTTTTTTTAATTGTTTTAATTGTACTTGGTGTTTATGTTTTTCTATATCTTCCAATTTTTAATGAAAATATTTTGAATTTTATGTATTTTTGCCTTGTCGCGAAGTGATAACTGAATCATTTAGTAGCGCATGCCCATTAGGTAAGCGGCGCTGAATCATCTGTGAAAAACTGTTTCTTTTTAATTTGTTTAATTACTTTAATACATCGTTTTAGATTTATTATAGTATTTGAATAGAACTTGTGATAATACTTCAGATGATATAATTTTTGTGCACTCTGAGTTATAAAATGAATGAGATGTAACTCTGTTACGTGAACCTAGCGCCGAAGTGTCGCTGTGGTAAATAAATATAGTGAACTTTAAAGAGTGCATTTATTCTGGTGTGGTTTATGCGCTATCTACGAAATAGATTTAATCCAAAATTCGTGTTTAAATGAAATGCACGAAAATTGCGTATAATTTAATGTTCCATACAAGGAAGTCATCTGGTTTACACATCAGATTTTTTAATTAATTCATAATTATGTGTCAATTTTAAAATTATATGTCTAACAGAATTTAATTTAAGAAAGAAAGGGATTGAATTAATGCGATCGAAAGATTTTATTTTACCGTTAATATAGTTTGAAAGAAAATTCAAAACTTCGAAAATGATTGTTGCAGAAAAGTTAATTATATATTTTGTGTAACTATGGATGGTATTCATTTTTTAAAAATGTAAAAATAATACAAACTCTAAATAATAGCTCGGACATACATAAAAAAGGTATACTTTAAATTTGTATCATATAATTTAAACCTCTTTAATTTGTTTCCTTCGAAATGTTTAAAAAATGGTATTTTCCCATCATATTTTCTTTCCTTGTGGAAAGAGGGCTGCTTTAATATTTCGGTAATTTACAGTTACGGCAGTCAATCATGGATTATCACGATTTACTCACTTAAACTAATTACAAACTATTTTCAATGTAAAATGCAGGCATAATAAAGTCCCAGTTATCCGATCATCAGTAATCTGAATGGTGGATTAACCGAACTTATTAAAATTTTACTGGACAGATATGGGCGAAGATTTAGGAAATCGAAGTAAGATTTAAGCTACTTCATTCTTTGGATCGCGCTTTTTCTAGATAATTAGCCCAAAGGAGCGTTAGCTTAGAAGAAATATTAGTCTCCAAACGGGATTTTGCCTTGAATCACTATAAAAGTTTGAATCACTTTTCAGATTGCTGCCACCAAATATCGTCATCCTGTATTATATTTAAAGAATTTAAGTAATGAAAAATCTGCATGAATGTATGCATGTTTTTCGAATTTTGAAAAAACAACTTTACCTAGAGCCATCCAGTTTTGAATAACGTAGTCCTCCACCTCAATATCGGCACCTAAAAGCCCGAATTTTGAATTTCGAATTTGTTTTATTGCTTATTTCAAATTTTGTAAAACTGTAAAGAATTTTTGATAAACAAACTGAAGGTTTTCAAAGCGAGCAACGGCAGAAACATTTTTATCTCCAGTGCGCGAGACTGTCTATCGAACATTGTAAAGATAGGCTTTTTTAAAATATTTTTAATCCAAAGGAACATTAGCCCAGATGCTCTCGAAACCTGTATATGTATGCAAATGCAAAAAACGCACCTTTGGCGTAATATAAAATCTGAGAGGTTTCAGAATTTTTTTTTTTTTTTTTTAAGTTTTTTATTTACTGTTCTGTATTTATCTATTTTTGTCTATCTCTGATTTTCTATTTTATATAGTCTTTTCTTTTTCTTCTTTCTTTTTCTATTCTATATATATTTTGTTTTCAAGTCGCATATTTCTTTCTCTAAATTCCGTTTCAGTTTACAGACGTGGTTGAAAACCTCTTGTGAGGATATTATTCTTAGTTATGTCATGTGTATGCAAGCAAACATTTGTTTTCATGTAAAGAAATTTTAATTGTCATTATATGTTTAAAAAATAATGAAAAATTATGAAATGATAAATGTGTTAGCTGCATGTTAATACTGTGAGATCAACAGTTACCGGCATTTTTAAAAATAATTCATACTTTTCTGTTCTTTTCTTTTAAAAAAATATAATAATATAATTAATACCGAAATAAAATATCTGTAGCTTGAAAATACATTTCTGTTTATATAAATTAAATAATGTAATTTTCCAAAGTAAAAAAGGAAATAATAATTTTTGTTAAATACGAAAATCATATATCCAAATACATTCTGGTTCCATTAAAATTTTGTATAATAGAGACTTCAGTTGTTTGAATTTTTGTAGTTTTGTTTTATGAAAATCAAATTTCTGGCCTTATATTTAATTTTAAAAATAATTGATGATTTAATTAAAATAATCGATTTATCAGTTATTAACAGCCAGAATAATAAAAGAATTTTAATAAATTTGATTAAAATAACTGATTAAAATAAAATACTATATTTGATTAAAATAAAATAATGCTTTCGGATCCTTTTTCAAATATAATAAAAATTATATAAATGAATTATGTTATTCTTACATAAAAGCATTTTCTATACTCGTTCTTTTTTTCTTTTTTCAGAATGCCGAAAAATTACAGTAGTACACCTGAACTGACCTTTCCAGCAGTTCCAGAATTTGAAATTATTTCTGTTCAAAGAAGAAGCCGAAGTTTGAGTGATATACACACCAGGCATGCTGGAAGACATGCTTGGATTTCTAAAGGTTCTGGTGAAAGAGAGCATCGACATAATCGAAGAGAAAAGCCCTTACAAAGACAGCATTCTATTCCAGAAGCTTCAAAAATTTCTCACGGGTTGGTTTCTGATGTGTCTTTATTATATTTAATTACCCAGAAGCATTTATTGATAATTTATTCGGAAAATATTATTTGCGTCTAATAAGTCATATTTTAAATTTTCTAGTGAGAAGACGCGAGAGAGATCATCAACTCCAGAACCAAATGGACCAACAGTTATCAAGCAAAATGGTTCCGACATATATGCAGAAACCGTTCCTGTAGTGGTAAAATCCGGTGACAAAGCAACAAGTGGACGTGCAAGCTGCCCGCCCCCGTCGTATCCACCTCCACCTCCCCCTGTTGGCCAAGTTGTCAAAGTTGACGTATCTCGTGGAGAATACGCGGATTTGACAACTGGGAGACAACATAAAACTCCTGCTATCATGTCCAGTTTCAGGCCTACGGACAGCGCTAAACTTTACGCGTCCCCAGATGCATTTGTAACCGTAGGATACAAAAAAGAGCATATACAGAAATGTGATGTGACTTTGCCTCGGCATATGGTGAAAGGTTCAGGGAGCAGATCTCAGTCATTACCTCCCAAGATGCCACCTAATGCTACCTCAGCTTCTGCATCTACCCCGGGCGGTAGGAGCAGTACGGCATCGCTCGACGCAGACAACAGTAGTGGAGATTCTGCGAGCGCTTATACGCCATTCAAAAGCTCTCACCGATCCAGGGATCATGCTGGAACGGAGTCTGGACATCAACCAGACCGCCGAGGTACTCTTAGGAAAGTAAAACAGCAGGGTCCCAAATTTCCCACTGCGGTCTCCGAATCAGCAAGTCCTAAGCACTACCCCACACTAGCTCAGCAGGAACCGGATTACGACTCTAGTGAAGAAGAAGATACAACTTCTGGATTGGACACAAAAAGTGGTCTTGTTACATTTAAAGCTCCAGACAGCGATCTCCAAAAAGAGGATGCCGAAGGGAAGAAGGTGAAGCAGACAGACGTAAATACTAATATGACTCTAAAGAGAAAGCGGCTAAAATCTCAGACGTCAGTTGATTCAACTAAACTTCCAGACTCCAGTGAAGAACCACCGAGTAATGTTAAAGCTGAGAATGAAGACACCGTAAATGACAAACCTAAATCAACAGAAAATTCTGAAACAGAGTCCGAAGTGGTGCAATCTGAAGAAACTGGAGAAAGAATATTCGTTCGAAATGAGAAAACTGACCAATCCTGTGAAATGACTAATGAGATAAGCGAAAAAACAAGTAGTCAAACGAAAAAAGTGGCACCCGTACCTCCGCCTAAAAGAACTGATGAAAATTCAAAATTAAAAGATGTTACCGATGTCAAATCAGAAATCGTCGTAGAAAAAGAATTAAGTGCCAAAGCCATTCGCGATGCATTTGAAAAGCAAATGCCATCTAAAGATGAGAAAAATGAATTAGATTCTACTCTGAAGCCAGCCAAGGAACCCATAGCTTTCAAAGCAACCATAGTTCTTAAACAGACAGAAGTTGTAGCTTCGAAAGAACCTAAGGAAACTCCAACTCCGTTTAGAATTAAGAACAAAGAACTTATTCACCAACATAGTGCACATGAGCTTTTACACCTGAAAAATAAAGATGAGATAACGAAGAAAGAAACAAAAGAAAATGCAACAAGAGAAAAATTAGTAAAATCACCATCCCAAGGATTTAAAGAGAGGACAAGTGAGACTTTTGAAACGTCTTATCAAAAAAATGCATTATCTCAGAATGATCTAAGAGATAAAAGTGATTCAAACACATCGCAGAAAATTGCTCCGGCAGTGCCAAAAAAGCCGAAAGTTGATGAAGTGAAAGTGTTAGAAGATATTACTGATAATTTTGAGTCAGTCAAGATGCTGCAAGTTGATACTGTTAATGATGAACAAGGAAACACATCACCTATTATTGATGCACAATCTCGTTCTGTAAAAGAAAATATTTATAATTTTGAAAAAAGAAGTACTGAATTATCGACTACGAAAGGAAACATTTCACCTCGCCGAAAGAGTGATGTGATCCGTATAACACTAATTGGGTCTCAACAAAAAGGAAATGAACAAGAAAAAGTTTGTTCTGTTGCTACGATGAAGACTTCTAAGTCATGCCCGAAAACTTTTGAAGAAGATGTTGATTTAGATGTAGAAAATTCATTAACAACTGCGATGCTGCATTCTGATGCGCACAATCAAGTCACACGATTTTCGGCTGAAACTCCAACTACAACAATTGCTTCCACTAACTTCAGCGATGAGTGGAGGCGTCCAGATGTCATTTCGCCAGTAAACATCCCACATCACGTAGAAGCTGTGGTTAAAAAACCGCCAGATACACCACCTAAAAACACTATTGTGCGTCGCATCGATAACTTTAGTAAAACACAGACTTTAGGGCGCAAGCCAAATGAACGTGATTTTGATCTTAGGGATACTGAAGCTACATATTTCTCAGATACAATGACACTTAATAGGCAGAGTTTAGCTAAAAGTGATAAATTTCAACAAATTTCTGATGCAGTCATTCATCCTGGTAGAGATCATCATCATACTAGGGTGCCTGTGTTACCTACAACATCAACAAGCCCACCGACAACTATGCTGCCACCTTCATCACACGGACATCCTGGTTTATTCCAACCTCGTAACGCACCACCACAACCCAGTGGAGCTTATGTACCAAATGTGAGTACACCATCCACTTCGGAGCCGATGCATCTGCCTACAAACCTTCCTCGAGAGCTGTCCCAAAAACTCACGTCTGAGCACATGGTAAACGTACGAAACCGAGAATCCTTTGAAGATCCGCATATTCTTCACCAGCAGGTTCCACAACAGAAAGGTGTTCCGGGTCCAATGTCTGCTCAAGCTCGCCTGCTTGACCACAGGCACACAAAAGTTGCTGCTCCGGCTCCTAATAGAGTTTCTCCACCGAAAACTCGCGAGGATGATGAATGCTTAAAACTCTGCCAGCGTGTTGACAAGAGCTTACAACTTATTCGTCTTCAGGTGGACTCTTTGCGTATGGCTGCGGCGAGCGAACCTGAAGTTCTAGCTGAACTAGTTCCACCGCCCCCCGAATTTAATTTTGCTGTTCCTCAGCAGCAGATGGGACCTCAACTTCCACCCCAACATGTGCAACCAATGCACATTGCACCGCCACCAGAATTCAGTGATGAATCACTTGCCAGACAACGCCGAGCTCAGCAAAATATGATAACCACCATGGACGCGCCTGTTAGCAGACGGGTGGTGCCTCCAGATTCAGTTAACTACCCATATCCAGAACATGTGTACAGAGGCTATCACCCAGTGCAATCACCACAGGATCATCCACACCATCCAATGCACCATCATCCCCACGGTGTGATTCCAAATAATGTAACATCGTCTCCTACCAAAACAATGACGATGACACGAAGTGGATATCCTCCTCATCATGCAATGCCTCCTCATCAACAGGTTCGCCATGAAAGTAACTGTAATACTTTGCCCCATCCTGGAGCGAGGATGATGATGCCCCCTCAAACCCTCCAACAGCATGCACCGCCCCTTCATCATCCTCAGACACCACAACCTCCACTACCACAGCAACAACACCCTTTCTCACCAGGGAGGCCAAATAGAGACTCACCAAGAATGATGGGACCTATACCCCCAATACCTCAACATAAAGAATTCCGACAAAAACCTTTACACCAGTGGAACATGAAAGATGTTTCAGATTGGCTAGAAAGTTTGTTTTTGCCAGAGTACAAAATAACATTTGCTGAAGCTGGTATAACGGGTTCAAAGTTAGCCAATATGGACAATAATGATTTAATGGGGTTAGGGGTAAAACAAGCTGGACACCGATTAAATATGGAAAGGTCAATAAAATGGTACCTAAAATGAAATTGCTTAGATTTATTAATGCCAAAGATTATATACTATCTCTTTAAAAGGTTCGTATATGGTCTGCAGATAGGGAAAGGAAATGGTAAAGGATACCGAAGTGATTGAATTGAAAGCTTCAGCTAAGGAGGATTTTGTCTCGCGTAGTTAACTGAAGTTAACTGCAACTAAATGTTTGACGAGCACATGACGTGTGTATTGACTATTTCTCTAACTTCTACTTAGCAGGCTTTGACATTTGTCAGCAGCAGGCTAGCAGCGCGGGTAAGACATAAGAATGCTAAATACACCAAATGCAGTAAGATGTATTTAAATTTCAGCCGACTGTTATTATGTCTTTATTTGACAGCGAATACGAAAAGAAAATCATTAAATATCTTAATGAATATTTAAAAATTGTATAATTTTAATAGGAAATAATTTCTAAATTTTCTCTTGCTTTTTAAATGAAATGTAACTAGTATGTCTTCATTTCAAGATATACACCTAAAAATACATGTAAATTTCGAAGTTAATAATTCGCGGCTTGTAAACTCAGTGCCGAACTAGATCACTTAATATTTAAAAAATAATTTATTTCTGAATTTTAAAGTAATCTTCAAAGTACCTTGGAATGTTCCTGCTTAAAGCGCTCATTAAAAAATCGTTTTCGCAAAAGTATAATTCTTATAAATTAGCGATTTTGATAATATGGTAAGTTTTTTTGTAGATTGTAAATTTTATAGAAGCTCACGTTCCTGATAATTCGATTTGAGGAAAATTCATACGAGCTACTCAATTCTTAAATGATTTCTATGTGAAAAATATTATTTCTCTTTTCAATCGCCATGTTAATCTTTAGTAGTGCAAGTATGCACTAAAAGCTTGCGCAAATAGAAGTATTTATGTGCGCGAGCTTTAGCCAGTATTACTGTTTTGTCTTTATGTAAATATTTTAGTGTTCTAATGTTTCAATTTCTTTATGTTGCTTTTCATGAGAGTCAAACTGTGCTCAATGACAGGGCTGGTTCCCTGCTTGTCGGAATCCGTTACGCATGTGTACGGTAAGAACTTTGCTTCAGGAATACAAATTGAGCCTAATAACTCATGTAACTGAAGTGTGAACAAATTAAAGTCAAAGGCATTTCGGAAATTTGACATTCTTTTCTGAATATCAAATTTGACGTATTATTTTATTTAGAACAAACCTACGCTTCCTTTTTCTAAGGAAAAAGTTTGAAAAGTCATCTTTCTTGCCGCTTTAAATTCAGACACAGTATTTAAAACAAGCATACTTGGAAAAAATTTCAGAAATTTTTAACAATATTTTAAATATAAGAGCTACACGAAATGAGATATAATTTAATGAGCTATTATAGATAAAGACTTTTTCTAGAAATAGAAAAGCTGATTGAATTTTTTATCATTGTTTCTATTATTATTCCTTCAAAAATGGGCATTTTGATATTTAGATCATTTATTCGTTCTGTTTGGATCAGTGAATTCAGGTTTCTGTTTCAGTATGATTTAGTATTGTATATCATTTTCTGATATACATTTCATCCTAATTAGACAATTAACATGTTTAATTAAATAAATTATTTATCAAGGAAATAATTTTGCTTTATCATTAGTTTTACATTTAACGGTTATTATAGAATGTTTCTCAAATTTCGTTATATCAAAAATTAATAATGTTTATCATTTTTATATCAACACGATTTAGATTATTAATGCAAAATTTATCATAAAAACAATACAAAATAACGAATATTTCATGCATGGTCTTATAAATAAGTTTTAAAAAATTTTTAGGAAAGTTTAGATATATGCTAATTTTTCTGAGAATGGATTTTCTTGCCAATTTTTGTTGCTAAATTATTGTCGAAAGAAACATTCGTCAGAAATCCCTTTCGCCATTTTGAAAATTTCAAATTTGAAGGACAATTGTACGATTACCTATTTTTACAAGTTCCCGACGATTCATAAATGTAAGTAATACTTTTATCTATGGGTTAATAACTTTAAAATATATAAATATGACAATTATTTAATTGAAGCATTTCGAATAATAGACCACGTACATTTCAAGTATTTTACAGGGCGCTCGGGAAATATCTGGCAAAAATTTAAAGAACAGGCCGAAATAAATAGATTTGGAGTAATGGAATAAGTAGCTTTATATATGCCTTAATATGAAATTTTAAAGATTAAGTGGTATTTGCATATTATCCTGTCAAACATGAAAGCTGGCTACCATCGAATTGTGAATGTCGGCAGAGATCTCGCATCTAGGTCAACTGATAGATGTTAGTGCTCTCGACCGAAATGTGTATAGTCATACATGTGATTCTACAAATATTTTAGCATCTTTCGTGGCAGTTGCTAAGACTAATTTTACAGAGGTGTCCTATTTATTTATTTGGTCATACCATAAATATATAAGGTTTCTTTCAACTGAACTAAGAGTTGTAACAGAGGAGATACGCTATTTGCATAATCTTGTCATAAAAACTAGTAATAATTTTACATTGTTTTTGTTCCTAGTGCACGTTTTGAAAAATGGAATTCGATTTTAAGTTATTTTTTCATACGTAAATAACGAAGGAGCATATTCGGCTATTTCGATTGGAAGATATGTGCTATTATTGGCTTTATCAGTTGACAATTCATTTCCCTCTGGATTGATTATTTCACAAACACACTGGAAGATTTCTACAAAATAGTTTATATTATTTTATGTGCCACAAATACTTGCAGTTCTTTTTCTAATTGAACAGTTACAGTTAAAAATGAATTAAATTACGCTGTAAATGCTTTTTCTGGTACTTACATATTAACGAAACCACCTTGCTACAATTTGCTGAACTTTGTAAAGAAAAGAAAAATAATGAGCAATTGTAGCAAAGCATTATTTATCTCTCTCTTTCTCTCTCTCTCTCTCTCTATATATATATATATATTGCATTATAATTAGTCTTTATTTCGAAAATTCAGTTGAGCTCTTCCGCTCCTCACTTTTTTTTTTAATAAATTAAATTCGAAATTACTTGGCGACGTTTCGATAATAGGTACTTGAAATTTTCCTTGGTGTGATTTTGCGGTAAAATACTGCGTTCCTGCTTACATTTTATCGCAGCTTCTTCCACTGTAATCAAATCCCGTTAGTGCCTATTTTAAAACTGAGATTAAGATAAAAAATTATCACGATTTGCCAATACAAATCGTTGCAACTTTGAATGCAACATAAATAACGCTAATGGAAATGGCAATTTTCTTATTAAGACTGAAGCGCATGGTTGCCAGTATTTGGCGCAGTCTGAAAACTTGACGATATCTTCTAAAGTGGTTACGCTAATATGTAAGTACTTTCTTTATAATCCTAATTTGCTGTATTAAAACTTCTGAATATTTCTGCCTTTCTTCCTTGAAGCAAACATTTCTTATTTCTAGCCTGTTCGTTATTTGTTTAAAAGAAGTAAGGCTAAATCCGAATGAGTCACATGTAATCTGAAGTCTCATTTGAATGTACAGTGTGCTTGCAGTTATGCATTCAGCTATAACCCAATGTACTTTACCAACAAAGATGCTTGTGTGCCAACAACTGCTTAAGCAAAATTTCATTCTGTTTGATAAATGTAGTGCAGGCACTGCATACATATAAAATCTGAAGTTTATTTCATTATCTTCTTTCACGATATGCAATGGATAGAGGACAGATACAAGTTTTTTTTTTTTTATTCCAAAATAAAATTCGTGAAAGAACCTTAAAGAATTCATTGAGGTTTTAGTCAAACTGAACAAAAGAAACTTAATTTTTAGGATGGCTTTTCTCTAAAGATATCTTTAAAAACCTTTAAAATAAACTTTATTGAAAATTTATTAGACGTTAAAGCATTGATTACATTCAGCTGTAATTTCCAAATGCCTCGGGCTTTCCATACCAACTTGTAGGTATATAAAACTGCCTGTAAATTTAGCTTCTGTTTCAATACGTTTGCTTACTTCTTTAGCTTTGTAAAAAAATTGTGCGCAGATACAGTGTATGATTGGAAACAGGAAAAAAAAATATTTGTATATACAAAACTAATTTAACTTGAATTTTTTGTCAATATCTTGAATGGTGCTTTTCATTTCTTTCATGAATATACAAATATATATATGTATAAAATAAATATAAATATAGATTTGAACAAGAACCTGTTCTTTGAAGTATGAATGCTTTCATGTACCTGAGACAGCAGCCGCTAATTTATTTTAATATAAGACAATAAACTGAAATGACCTTTTTCCAATTTTCTACGCTAGGAATAATTATTTTAGACGAGGAGCTTCAGCATTCATGTAAACACGTAACAATGAAAATACCAATTTTATAAATAAACTAGATTTTCACTTTTTCTTCCTGTTAAATCATCTTCTCCAATACGTTTCAATAAACTCTAGCATTTAAATTCGGTAGTAATGAATTCTTCAATTCTATAAAACGGTTTTGTAATAATTTTGTATCTCTCATCATAGTGTAATTAACTTTTATAAACACGAATCGATGACTGAATTATAACAGAAGTACGGAAGTTGTAAGAAATGTATTTTATTATGTAACGAAATCCTTTAAACTCGTATAACAGGGATCTACAAATATCTGAACTTCCGATTTTGTAGAAAAACAAGATTATGATACGTATTAAATATATTTGAACAATTTCCTTTCTTTGTAAAGTCACTGTTTATGTGGTATATTTTTCCATTATAATTAATTATTTACTCATTTAAACTGGAAATTCAGCCCAAATATAATATACAGGTTGAGCTACAACTATATAACATTCAGTTTTGCTTGACGAGTTATTTTTGTCATTTATTATTTATTCAGTTATTTTTAGCATTGCTTAATTCAAGAGAAGCTCTAATGCATACTCATCAAGTATGGTTCGATGCATAATGAGGATATAAACTCTGATGGCAAAGCATCATATATTATATATACTTTCGCCTGTTATTTTCATGTAATGAGTCACGTCACTGTTAAGCCATAACAGCAATTCCTTTTCTAAAAACAGACTGAACAAACATGATGACGTTATGTCAGTCTCCTTTCTTCCTAAGGAATTTTTTTTCCTTACAATGTAAAGTTTGATTACATTCAATTACTTTCTGCCAACCTTTTAATGAATGTTACGTTACGTTTGATTTTGTTTTAACTAGAGGTGGTGCAATAATGTTCTTTCCTTGCATATAAAGTGAAATATTTTATATAACAAACACATTATTTTAAGACACAATAACACGCCGAACAAATACTAATTCAGAAGTCAAACAACAAAAATCAGCGTTAAATTTTCAAAATTTTCACAGGACTAGTTTCGATGGTTTTACCGAACCAACATCCTCAGCTGCAAAACCGCAAATGAATAAGGCCTTATTCATTTGCGGTTAATCCTTATTCATTTTCAGTTTTGCAGCTGAGGATGGTGGTTCGGTAAAACCATCGAAACTAGTCCTGTGAAAATTTTGAAAATATAACGCTGATTTTTGTTGTTTGACTTCTAAATTCACATTATTTTCTTGAGTATAAAATGTAATAGCTGCATAAATTTGCTGAAATAAAAGACGAGCAGAAATCTTTCACTGAAAGGCTAACAGAATACATGATAGTAGCCATGTTAATTTTTTTAAAGAAAACATTCACTAAAAGGAAAGAAGCTGAATAAACACAATGACGTAATGCCATCAAGTTTATTCAATCTGTTTTTAGAAAAGTAGTACTCCTTATGTCCTAACAGCGACTCATTAAATAAAAGTAACTGTATCTGGCTTAAAATGTGATCCTGATTATCCACATGTATCGAATATGCGGATGAGTTTGGATTGTGTTTAGTGCGGATATTTATATTAAGAGAATAGTGGTTTCTTTTTTTAATCCATTCATTGAGACGTATATACATAAAAAACATCTTATACATACATCATCGTTGCGGTTGCCAAATATACAGTAGTAAAAATTATGCAATGTTAAAAGTTTAAAGTTTTTTACAAATTTCTTCTTTCATATAAATATTTAGATTTTAATTTCAGCTAATCTACTGAAAACTTTATAGATTCCTGTTGATAAATTTCATCCCTTCAAAAATAGCTCTGACACACATACAAACTAAAAACTTTAATATTTTCCTTACAAAAGCATTTTTTCTAAAGCACCCAAAATGCACGGCTACACGAAGCTCAATTTTATACTAATGCATCAAAATACGTGTATAAAATGCAGAGAGAATATGCGTTTGTATGTGTGCATGCGTTTGTAGAATTTTCATACGATGACGCATTTAAACAAAAAGAAAGTTAAGCTTCGAATTGTAACATAGAACGCGGTAAGAGTTTGCCTGAAGTTTGATACATATTTTGAAAACATGAAATGAATTTTCACTAAATGCAGAAATCTTTTATGGAAATATACATCTTGATGATAAGAATCAGAATTCTCCACACAACCTGATCTATGTGTCAAGTAATGCAAATTATAAAATGACGAAATGAGTTGTACGATAAAATATACTGTGCATTTGTCTTCATTTTTGTTTTATTCACATTGTATACAGTTTCGAAAATTTAACATTTCGACGTTGTCAAATTTGTGTTTCCTTTGTTAAAGAGGTTTTGTAGAAAGTGCTTCTGTAAAAAAAAAAAAAAACAATAAATGGCTGAGAATAGAACGCTGTTGATAATAAATAGTGCACATTTTGCATGAAATTGGAGTCTGCTTTTGTCATTGATATGTATCCAACACCAATGATATAAATTCCTTTTTAGCGAAAACATTCTACGCGATGTAAATGTGAAAAATTAAGGAACGGCTGACACAACTATTAATTTAATTAAAATTAACCTTATGGTTATTAGGTCATAATTAAAACATTTTTAGTTCACATAAACAAGAAATAAAGTTCTATCCCATACCCCATGAAAAGCTCTATAAAAGTCATACTGATAACATATTATTAAAATAATGATACTCACATACCACAAAACTACCTCCAGGACATTTAACCACAGTTGCACATCCTTTCTAGTTTCCTTTAAAGTCTTCTGTCGAAAATAATATGTCACAACTTCTGAAATTCTCAAGATTCGATCTTTTTGACACTGTATTGAGAGAGTATTGACACTGTACTGTGAGAACTTGAAATCCTACCCATCACATCCCCGGAATATCTTAACTAAGGACTTCACCTTGTGATCCCAAACAGAGAGTTAAGGATATTAGGGTAATAATATTTTTTACTTATCACACATTTCTTGGTGGTGTACGTTTTACCAAGAACACAAACACGAAGTAAGTTTGATATTTATAGATTTATATTTGATATGTATTACTGACAGATATCACTAGTTGTCAACGCTTAATAGAAATTAAATGACAACACAGCTTGGATACTGTTGGACATAAAATATTATCACGCGCAGCAAAAATTTGCTTTTGCAAGTAATAAAGTTTGTCTGTGACGGCTAATAACTTTGTGAAAATATGAAGTATTGTAAAGGAAATGTTACTCGAAACTCTAATGTCTATTCCAAACACCAGCTTGAATACATTTAGATCTAAATTATTATCATGCCCGCAGCTTTTGCACAAAACTTGCTTTTGCACAAAAATAAAGCTTTCCTGTGAAGGCTCTTAACTTTGTGAAAACATAAAGGTAGAAGGGAATTGAATTTACAGAAAAGAAAAGCCGTTTGGTACTTGAAACGATACAAAGTAAAATGTAATATAACGGAGAGAAGAGAAAATGGCCACACAGAAAGTTACATGTTGGAGAAGTCAGTAGGAGTCAGAAGTCAAAATACATAAATATGATATAAAATACAGATGTTAAGCCCAAAAATATGAACACGTTTTGCAGTAGAGAGGCATAAAATGCAACAACACAAATTCTACAAAAATGTACAAAGTATATAAAGTGAACAGTTGATCTGGGAATCTTGAATTTGCGAATTGGCAGTGATTATAAAATCCAGAGAAGACGAGAAGGACTAATCCTTTTTCTATTGGGGACTAAATCCTTTTTCTATTGAAACATATTTGAAGTGATATCTATATCGAGGAACTGACACATTAAGGCTCTTTTGCTCGTGTGTCACATTAAGGCTCGTGTAACATTTATGCAGCTAATCATTAATGAGTGGACTTTTAAGATCACGATGTATAAAGGAATTCCTAATAAAGTAAAGGGAATTAATGATACTTCTTAAAATTTTATTTTGAAGAGAGTTTGGAGTTTTAAAATATTATTTCTGCTTTTCGCAGTCCATTCCAGGGAAGCATAAAGACGATTCGTCTAAATGCTGAAGTGCGAAATTCTCTGTCTGAAGAGCAAAGCTCGAAGATACACTTATAAACGGATGAAGGAGGTGTGAAATTCCAGCAATTTGACATATAACATAATAAATATGGTCATTTCAGTTTGTAAGGTATTTTCTGCCTCCTTACAGCTTGCCTTAATGGCATAATTACAAGCACATCCCCCTAGCAATCGAAAGTCCGAAGTTCGAATCTCAACGAGGACAATGCTTGTTTCGAAAACTATTGATGACTCTACAACGAGGGCACGAACTAAATTGTATTGTACAATAATTCGTCAATCACCAGGGTTTGGTGATCGGGTCCTCGCCTCCTCATTCGCTTTTAAATGGGAGAGAATGTAAGGTATTTTCTCCCTTCTTAAAACGTGTCTTCGCGATATAATTATAAACCATATCCGCCTCATATTCGGAAGGTCCAGAGTTAGAATCCTGATTAGGAAGCTGCTCATTTTTTATGCTTCAACAAATCTAATGACTCTACAATTTGATTCTTTCTTTTAATGTTTCTGCAAAGTAATTTGCTCTAGAAACTTCTACTATAACTTGAGCCAAATAAAAGATGATATCTTTTATACTTACGATAACATCTTCTGTGCAAATAAGAATGCAATCAATTTAAATTTCGTCATCTTACAAGTTTTACATCATATGTAACTTATTTAACGTAAAAGTTATTGAACGCCTCTTGTAATTAGCTGAGATGCAAGCGCAAAGTACAAGTTCTAAAAGGAAATTAGAAATGCTATTTAGTAAGCCTTGAATTCTCGGTGCTTCATTTTATTAAATAACAAGTCTATTTTATTTTTCATCTCTTGTAGAGAGGCACATGACGCTACTCATTAAAATGCATTGTGTACAATGTAAATGTAACATTAATACACATTTGGAAACTAAAATATTAGTATGTTATTTCATTGTAAAAATTATGTTTTTACATCTCATAGAAACTAAATAATAGATTGTAAAAAATATTTAAAATTACATGTTTTCAATTAAGGACGCTGAAATATAAAGAGCAGCTTCTTAATTTCTACTTTTCTTGGTCTTCTGGTAACTAAAGAAATTATGAATCTACTAAAAATGCAGGATTTTTAATCAAACTTCTTAAACTAAACTAAACTTAAAGAACAATTTAATCGAACTGAATACAATCATTTTTATACTCTCATTCCTGTTCTTTCCAAGCCTGTCACCGGCTCGGATAACAGTTCCCGCGTCTCATCGCAAAAGGCTTTTCAAAATAAATCAATCACCAGCGCACCTTTGTCTGTGAGAAATTCTATTCACCACAGGCATTTAAAGTTGAGTCCATCAACTCATAATCTTGATTCCTCTCACTGTTGCGAGACTCTATCTAAATTTCATTCATTCATTCGGTTCTCCAGTAAGGCAACGTAAAAGAGAAATAAATGATCAAAATAAAGCAAGCATTCCACCTAAATAAAAATAAAAAAATAAAAAAATCTGCAAGTTTCAGATTTTAAATTACGTTTAAAGGGGCGTTTTTTTTAACGTTTTGTGTGTTACCTTCATTTATTAAATATCATGTTCTTTGCACTTAAACTATAAAATTCAGTTCAATAGTAATGTCGCAAAATAATTTTAAAATGAGCATATCTTTAAAATTTCCGATACACAGTTCCGCGCGCTGAAGATATAAAGATTTTTCCTCCCGTAGAGTGTTTGCCATTGCTCACTTTGAAATCCTTCAGTTTGTTTATCAAAAATTCGTTAAAATTTTACAAAAATATGAAATCGGTAATAAAACAAATTCCAAATTTGGTACTCCACATGCCCATATTCGTAGGAGGATTACGTCATTCAAAATTCGATGGCTCTATGTGCCGTTGTTTTATCATAATGCGAGAAATATACTTACATTTATGCAGATTTCTCATTATTTAATTTCTTCAAACATAATGCAGGACTCTAACATTTGGTGACAACAGTTTGAAAAGTGAAACGGACATTTATAGTGATTCAACGCAAAATCGCAAAACGAAAACAATAGTCCTTCAGGGAGACATCCCCTTTGGACTAATAAAACAAGTCATCCACCTCAGTAAGAAAACATGGCGTATTTCTGCCATTCTCTTTAATATTCTAAATATAAACTAAAAACATAGTATTGCCAAAGCGTGAAAAATAATTTTTTCTAAAGTGCTTTTACACAACTGTTGGGTTTCTCGCGACACTCACAATGCCTTTCTCAAAATGAAGAGTTCAGAATTCAGAGAAAAACAACGCAGTCTTAATTATAATGAATTTACTGACCAGCCTATCAAAAGACGGAAATTCTTCTTCAGCAATTCTCATCGATAATCCACAATTACTTCTTCTTTTTCATAAATCCTGCTAATCAGTATCCATCGTCTTGTTACAGCAATAAAAATTCTACTTTCCCTACTTGAGTTTTATCAAAGCACTTATAATTAACGAAACTATTTTTGTTATATTTTTATGTCCTACTTCTGATGTTCAGTGAAATTATGTTTATGTTCAAACACAATTAGTATATGAGGGTTTTATTTTTAGTTACATATAATTAAGAATATTTTAATAGTTTATTTTTTATTATTCATTACAAGCTGAAGTACCCGGCTTTGCGTTAGCCTTATGCAGAGTGAAGAGATTCCATTTAAGAGGGTAGAGGTAGTTTTTTCGAAATATTTGCGAAATGCTGATAGAGAGCATACTTAAATTCTATTCTAAAGGTTCTATACTGTTCTAAAACGATAACTAATACAGCGTCATCTAATCCTATAATCTTAATCAAGTATCTTATAAAATAATTTGCAGCTGACCATATTTTGTGTCATTAAATGAATTATGAAGTTCTCTTTCTTTAAGAATGATACATTCAAATCAAATTGATTGGTTTGATTGGAAGAATGTTTTTAATTATTTTTTGTTCTTTTAAAATTGTTAAACGTAAAAGTGTTGTTTAAATCCAAGGAAACTAAAGGTAAGATAAGTTTGGCTGCCTTGCCTCATGAACTTAATCACATTGCAGGTCCACTCCCCCTTTGGACACATCCTGGAGATTCAATTTACACTATTACCTCTCCAGAGGAGCGGCGCACCACCTGGAAAAATCTCCAGGCAGCACTGGTCGTCAATTGCTGCCTGCCAGTCGCATGGGCGAGCCTGTCGCAGAGAGCCATTACTCAGCAAACTGGGGAGAAACCCTCTGGCTACGGATCCACACCGTTTAGAACATGACAGACCCCCGAGGCCGGCTAATAAGTGACCTTTTTCAAGGCCTTCAGCCAAACCACCAACTTCATAAATTTTATACCCCCGTGGCCGAGACTGCCTAGGTACAGATCGTCAGAATGAAAAGTCATAAAACAAATAATAATCTCTGCTAATCCTCAAAGCAATCACCATAGGCATCCAATGCCTTTTGCCAATAAGTGACTGGCCTGTGAGATGCCATCAACTCAGGAGTCTTGGACCCAAAGAAGTCCATGAGGGCCTTTTCGAGGTCTGGCCGATTGTTGAAGAATTTCCCACAAAGATAGTTATCCAGGGAATGGAAAAGGTTATAGTCTGTTGGCACGAGGTCTGGAGAGTATAGTGGATGGAATAGTATCTCCCAGCCCAGTCGATGGATGGTGTCCCGTGCCTCCCGAGCTACATGCGGCCTCGCATTATTATGGAGGAGGAGTACACCCTTAAGAATGACCAATGCTGGCTCTTTATGCATCAGTGCCTTATGTACACGTTCCAACTGCTGCGATACAGGCCTGCCGTGATGGATTAGCCCACTGGCTCATAGTGCATCCCTTGGCGACTAGTCTACCATATACAGAGCATAATCTTGCGTAGGTGGACAGAAGGTCTCGCAGTGTAAGACACGGGGTCCCGTGATGACAACCAATGTCTGGAACGGTTGGGTGTGTCATACTGGACCCACGTTTCATCGATGGTGAATACGCTTTCAAATACGGATGCATTGTTGTGCCGATTAAGCAATGACAAACAGGCATCGACACGCTGTTTCTTGTTTGCATCGGACAGTGAGTGGGATATCCAATTGCCCAGCTTGTATGCCTTTCCTATGCGGTGCAAATGAAGTCTGATTGTTTCACCAGATACCTGGCAGTGTGCAGCAAGCTCACCACATGTTTGGCTACTGTCACTCTATGGCTGCTCTCAGGGCCTCATCGTCCAGAGCTGGTTCCCGACCGCTGCGTGGTGCATCATTAAGAAATATATCTCCTGACCTGAACTTCTGGAATCATTGCCTAGCGGTTCGTTCGTTAACGGCATCATCCCCAAAGGCCTAACAAATTCGGCGACTTGATTCTGCTGCTGACAGGCCCACTTTAAAATCATACAGCAAACAACTTCGAACGAGCACTTTGACGCGTCCATTTCAATCAGTCGCTGTCTGAAGTACAGATGGAACACGTTTTGATAGACACTCTTGGTTAATGTCCGAACTCCCATCCTACCCACTTCATCGCCAGGTTTGGCGACTATTTTTATGTTGGAGTTCCCTCTTCCAATATCATATCCGAAACGGCAAGAACTTTTTGGTTACCTTATAAAATGCTAAATTCTCTTTCTTTAAGACTGTGATATTCAAATCACCTCGAACGTAGAGTTTGGTTTTAAATCAGCTGTTGTTCTTTTAAAATTATTTAATGTAAACTGTTCTTTATGTAAAAATGGCCAAATGTTTTTAAAAAATAGAAATTTCCGTAAACTAAAAACTATTATGGATAAGAGTGGGTTTCGTATCTCCTCCATGCACTTTTTTTAAGACCACACATTTCAGTTGAGCTTGAAATTTGACAACAATGAAGGGCTTTCATGGGCTTGCGTAACTATTCCGAGGGTATTTCAAAACGAAATAAACTCATTTTAAAATTATACAGGAGCTCCAAAACTGTTTTCAAAGTGTTTGATAAAACAGATTTGGTAAGAACGAACAGCTGGAACTTAATAATAGCAATGTGAACCTGATATGGGTGACGTGATTTTAATACTTGCAAAACTATTTCTTCTGCTGAAGGCTGGAAATTCGGCTACTCGATTACCAAACTGCATTCCTGTCAACAGCTTCCCCCCACCACCACCATATTCCTGGATTCTTTTATTTTTGAAAAGCCGGTTAAGAGGGTCTACTCTAATTTTTACGTTTCAGGACATTTAGTATAAACCGTATAATTTAAAACTTTTTTATAAATTTTGTTTTATACTTTTTAGTCTATAATAAGTAGACTAAAATATCATTGAATATTTAGCCTACTTAGCCTACAAAACGCAGATAATTAAAGGGGAAAAGGAAGCATAAAATTTGAAAAGAAAGAAAATTAAAACTGCTGAACGACGGAAAATTATTCTTTTAAATCATATATAAGATTACAATCAGTTCATTTAAATTTCAGTTTGATTTAGAAATCCGATTTTGTCATCACTTACTTAAAACCACAAGCTTATAAATAATAAAATATCAAATCTTTATGATTTTAAATGTTTGTTAAAAAATGCAAGATATTAGAAAATCGAACATTTCTTTTGAATTGCCAAAAACCTAATAAATTACATTAAAAACATTCCGAATGCTTTCATGTTTTATATTACGCTACACACGCATACACGTTACGAGAGCATTTGGCTAATTTTTAGCCCTTTTGGCTAATATTTGGCCCTTTGGGCTAAAAATATTTAAAAACAGCATATCTTTAGAATTTCCGATTGACAGTCTCGCAAGCTAGGGATAAAACGTTTTATTCCGTTTATAAAGTTTTGCCACTGCCCGCTTTGATATCGCTAAAATTTTTATTAAAAAATTCGTTAAAATTTTACAAAATATGAAATAGATAAAATATTTTGTAAAACAAATTCGAAATTCAAAAATCGGGTTTCCAAGTGCTCATATTCAGGTAGAGGACTACGTTATTCAACATTTGATGGTTCTACTATTGTGTTTTGACAATGCAAGAAACAGACTGTTGCCTGCGTACGAATTCGTGATAGACTGAATGGTCAAGTCCGATAAAATACTAATAAAATTTATTCTTATCAAAAGAAATGTAACATAATGCTGGAATTTTCCTCAGAGATACTCGTACAAATGCTCAGAATATCACGTAGTAATAATCAGTAGTTATCCTTCAAACTTCTAAAACGTTAAATAGGACGCAACCCATCGAGCAGAGATAGCTAATCCGATCAACATTAACAACAGTAGCTAACTAAATGACTGAGATGAGATGTTCTCTGACTGGCTTTTTATAGCTGTATTTCTGCTTTTCGAGATTTCTGGAAAGCAAAAAGAGTAAATTATGGTTACAGCTAACGCAGTAGTCAATTACAAATTCAATTCAAATTAAATATAAATTACCGACATAAAGTTTTATTCAATGTTAAATGCACTTGCTCCTGTATTTTTACTTTTCCGGCATAGCTTTATCTTAAAACTCGTGTCGCGCTGCATTGCATGGGAAATATAAAACAATTTTAATTATAATTCTACTAGCATTATCTATCTAAATAGTACATCGCAACAATACATACATTTATGAAGTTGTTTCATTACTTAATTTCTTTAAATGTGACAAGATTTTTGGTGGCACGATTTTTGAAAAGTGATTCAATGCTTTTAGTGATCGACGCAAAATGCCATTTCGAGACTAAACTTCCGGGCTAACGCCCCTTTGGGCTAAAAATTCCAGGAGCATTTGTCGGCATAAATGTTTTGAAAGTCTTTTGTATGCTCCTCTAAAAAATCTGTGCTGTTTATTCTGACCGTTAAAGAAAGATTAGTATGGAAAATTTAACATTACATAAGAAAAATATCTATATCGATTTCTTAGAGACATACATAAGAAAAATATCTATATAGATGTCTTAGAGACATTCCACTATCATCACAAATAGGCACACGAAAAATGAAATTAAAAATCGGTCGATAAAAAGGGTTAAAAAATAAATTTAAAATTAAATCTCTTCTATTTACTTCTGGCTAGAGGCAAATTAAAAATAAATTTTTAATTTGCCTCTAGCCAGAAGTAAATAGAAGAGAGCTAAATTTCCAGTTTTATGAGAAAACCAATAAAATATTTAATATTTTATCCAATTTTAAAATCGTGGCAACTAAACTCGTCGTTCAATGTAGTCAGTCATATTTTGCGTTGTATATTATTAGTTTCACGCGCTCGACGATTGCTATACGTATAAAAATGTTCTTCTGAAGTTAAAAGATTTCTCTTTTACCAGTTCTAGTTAAGATTTCATAAAAAATGGTTATATATTTTTTATTCCTGACTGCTGTAAGCTGCAGCGCTTTAACAAATTCGAATGAATTGCATTTCTTCAACATTTCAATGAATTCCCCAGTGAATGGCTCAGGTAATTCGTCGCATCACTCTGTACTAACAATTTCAAATACAGTCCAGGACAATGTCTCGAAGAATACTACAAATATTACTGTACTCGGAGTAAACGGCAATCATGAAAACAAAACGACCGAGCTTGATTTACCAGGTAAATGATATTTATATTTTAAAAAGTTTCAGCTGCATTCCAATAATAATTTTAATCAAATTTGTGGAAAATACTTTTACAAGTATATTTTCCTTGACTTCAAATTGATCCAAATAAAATATCGGTTTCTTCACTATTGCCCATTTTACTGGTAGTTTTGTCAAATATGAGGTATGACTTGAAATTTGCTAATTTAAATGCAGATTTTGAAATTTAAATTTTTGTCTTATTTCCAGCGAGTTTGAATTTTCTTTCGAAATTCATAATTTAACATCTAAATTAATGTTTATTATTTTAAAACTCAAATTTTAAATTAATTTTCAGTGTCTTCAAATTTTGTTTCAAATATTCTTTGAAATTCATAATTTAATATCTAAATTAATTTTATTTTAATCATTTATTTTAATTTAAATTTTAAATTAATTTTCAGCGCGTTCAAATTTTGTTTGAAATAATTTTCTTTTGAAATTCATATGTTAAAATTTAAATTAATTTGTATTATTTAAAATTTAAAACCAAATTTTTATGTTTTTTAATTTAATTTAAAATGATTTACTTTTCAAATACAAATCTAAAAATAATCTTCATTAAAATATAACGTGTTTTTAATAAAAGTTACCCAATTTAGACTCATGTAGAAACTGTTCTGGTAGACCTGTTTCGTTAAAACTTGGTAGATACATTAGGTGGCCCATGGGGAGATAAAATCTGCAAGGAAAATCAATAGTTCAAATTTCGCCCAAGAGTTGGCGCTTTTCAAGCAATATAGAAATTAAGTTATGCAAATTTGGGGCGTTTTAAAGAGCCAGTAGTTAATTCCGTAAAATCGTTTTTCACCATGCCTTTAGAAAAGAAAGGTCAAGCTTCAGTGATCAAGTTGTTTTATCAGAATGCAGTGATTTTTCAACTGCACCGCGAGAATATCGACATTTGAAAGGCCTTAGAAAAGGGCCTATTCAACGCAGGGTTTTAAAAAGATGACTACTAAATTTGAAGAGACTGCGGAGTTCTGCGTGCTGCGAAAAAGAGAACAGAAGCGGGTTTCAAATGAAACTGTTGAAGAAGTCTCTTTGCCTTTGGTAGAAAGAGCGTACTTCCCAATACTCTTCAACAAGTTCTCAAGCGTTGTCATGTGTTTTGTTTTTCCATTGGTCGACAGCATAAAAGGTTCTGCCATCCATTGTAAAGTGGTATCCATACAAGATCCAAGTTCTGCAAGAGCTCCATCCTGCAAACCCTGACAAAAGCATTGGTTTTGCTAGCCTTCTATCGCTCTATAGCTTATTGGTTTTAGCCTAATGGCTTTTGCACACTTGTAATTAGCACCTGTCTCCTCCTGCCTAATCCAGAGTGAGATAACGGAGTGGTTAGAAACGTGGATTCCAATCGTTACACTTTAACAATCCTTTTGTAACAATTAGAATAGTTACAAAACACCGCAGTTGCTTTCAGTAGCAGGAGCGGTTATAAGAGTTTGTTGTTGTAGCCTTCTATCGGCCAGAATATCCGTCGACATTCGAATATTTTGTGGTCGTAGTAGTTGTATTTTACCCTAGACGAAAATGATAATACTCAAAACTGTCGCATATGGGGCTGTAAGCCTAGTGTTGTGCATGAATGGTATCTGCATAGTGTGGTTTCACTGCTGATTTCCCTCTTTTGGTCCTCTTTTCGTTGGGAAGAACTCTCCTCAAGGCCCTCAGAAGTGTTTTCCATCATGGGTGCCCATTACTGATAACTAGTGATTCTTGCCTTACAAGATCCAAGTTCGCTTGCCTTACAAGAACGCGAATGTTTATAGATTACTGTCTTCATGCAAGATAGTGTACAACCTCATACTGCTGGATCAGTGAATGCATTGTTTCGTATTCACTTTGGGATCGGATAATTTCGAGTTTTTCAACTGTCTGGCTTCCTCTATCTCCGGATTTGAATTCCTGTGACTTCTAGTTGTGAGAATTTGTGAACGATCAAGTCTATGGAGGAAACATACGCAGGTGACAGGTGAATGCAGGGCCCGGACACCCGGACGGCTTAATATGACAAATCGGGTGTCGTCCGGTACCCGCACCTATTTAGAACAACACAACCCCGGCCACTTCCTGAAAGGGCTGCATCGGAAATATATTAATGGAGAATATGTGGTATTGACGTGGCCAAACAAGGGCGTGTGCATATATATGCTTCAGTATACAATTAATAAAAAGTTTCATACATAGGTACATTGGTGGTATAGGTACATTGGATACATATGTATATTGGTCTAAGGGGTTAATGAGATAGGCAAACAATAACACTTATACATTAAAAGAAATGAAACACTGACGCAACTGGCGCAATAATGCAGAAGATGACAATGACAATTAATGAATACACGTAATCGTGTGTCATCCTGTATGACTATACATAAACTACTAGAAATGATATGCATAAACACATACAAATGATGGCGATAAATGAAAGCACATAATCATACATTATTCTACTGGACTATACACACATCAATAAAAATGATACATACACACCTATATGTTGACAGAAATGATACACTGAGAATGAAAATGTGTATGTGTTCATTGTGTGATCGATGACAATTAAAGGTTACACATATTCGTGTATTACCTTACTTGGCTATACATAATATATTAGTATAAATGTTACACTTAAAGACTTATACATTAATGGAAATGAAATACTGAAATGGCACTTATAATGGCATAACATTATACGATAGATGAATAGAATAGTGGTAAACACTTGGTAATCGTGGTATCATCCTTAAGTGGCCATATACATACATAATAGCAAATGATACACTTAGGTACATTGGATGTATAGGCTGGTTACATGGAAAGGATAGGGTTGTGGTTAAGCCGAATCACACAAGTCCTGGCCTAATGCTTGCAGTCTGTCCATAATACTTTTGAGTTTTTTTAAGTACTACTGGTTGGCGAATGAAGAATCTTTTATAGGCTGGATCTGTGTTGTAAAACGGCATGTGCCACTCTCGTGTTAGTGGGCAGAAGGTGACATAATGGTCCGGGCTACCTGGCTGGCCACACACACAGATGTTGGTGTTTGTTATTCTTCAGGACGTTTGAACTGAAACAAGCAGAATACTTTATATTGTGCAACTGATCGAGAAACTCTTAGTGCTACTGCGGCCAACCAGCGGCCGAGCGGTAAAGTCGCTGAACACTGGTAGTTCGGTCCGAGGTTCGAATCCCGCGAACGGGCTGGCTGCATGGGCGTTTTCGTGGTTTTCCCCATGTGTAACGTGTATACGAGCCAGTTTCCCTTAGAAAGTCCTCCACGAAGGCATCCCTCCTCTTAGGCAGATAGCCCTCGAGGCTTTGCCATATTCACACACACACACACACACACACACTTAGTGCTACTGCTGAATATACTATAACACGTTTTGAATGTGTGATTGAAGCAAATGGAATGCACATTGCACAAATGCTGCAATTAAATAAAGTTTTGTGTTTCTAATTTGTGTTTTTGTTCTTCATGCGTCCTCTTCTTACCTGGTGGTCGAAATTTGAACTATTATTGCAGATTTCGGTACTTTTCCGTTTTGCCGGCGCAAACGATAAAGTCGCCAATAATGGTTTAACTGATGCCAGACGGAATATCTTCGCTGGTAACCTTTTACGCCTCAGTTTCAAAACAAGTTGAAGCCATTTCTTATCAGATTGTTTCTTTCAATACTGGCATACAATAATATAGAATTTTTACACGATATTTAAATTTTAACCCCTAAGACAATTCACGGTAATTAAGTCAATTAGAACGCAATTACACCGCTCATCCGAAGGCGAAATCAAGTGTTAAATTCATCAATTCTAATGACTAGCGAAGTAAAGCACTGCGGTTTTACATAATTTCTGAGTAAGCTATTCATACGAATTGAAATAATTCTTGCATTTAAACTTGTATTCCAAATTAAGATTTAACTTAAAATTAATGTAGATAATTACTGAGCGAATTAAATTTTAGTAGCGTAGTTTACGTGAGATGAGATCACTTGGGGTCACGTGATACGAACCGGCGAATCAGGATTTTGAACTATGAAATCATAGTAAATTCTTAAATTAATGTCTTTTTACAAATTTATTGTCTTTATTTATTGGCTTTTTACAAAATTTTAAACCATATTAAAATGTTTATGCCTATACAATAAAAAAAAAAATTCTTAGAATTAACATTTTTTATGTGTATATTGTATGTTGTAGCCAACAAAGTCTGCTTGGCGAGATTTGCGCCGGCGAAACGGAAAAGTACCCAGATTTCTTTCCTCTGTGGTTCCTACAACGTATATAACAAGTTTCAACAAAATAGTTCTAGAATAATGGGCTCCACGCTAGATATAAATGGGAACTTTAATTACAATCGCCTCTTTGCACGGATTAGTGTTTCCTGGATATATTGTTATAAAAGAGAACATTACGCCTAGTACCAAATTGAAAAAAATCTGTAACTTGCAAATTCAACATAGCCCCAAAGACTTATATGGTGGCAACTTGAACAAGGAAGCACCATTTTCTCCAGTGTCAATCTAAATTAAAATGAAATTAGCTTGCTTCAATATTAAATAGGCTGCCTTATTCGTATAGTTATTATATAGTGGTTAGTGCTGCTCCCGGAGAAAATTTACATAATTTTAACTGTGTAGTGCTGATTTCGCAAGTACATAAAAGTTAAGATTAACTGAATAAATAAATATGTCAAATCCATTAACTGATTTCAATCATAAAATTAACGATAAAAACTAGGAAAGAAATGAAAATTAAAAAAACACATTATTGAAAAGATTTAGTAAAAGCGCATAATATTACGTTAGATGAGCCAGTGTAATCACACATTACAGTCAGTTTCCAGAGATCAAATGAATAAGACTAGAGACATGTTGAAGTCGTCCTGCGAACTGGTCAACAGAGTTTCTGTAATCGGTAATGTCGCTGAACACTGGTAGTTAGGTCCGAGGTTCGAATCCC